AGAAGGAGATCTTGTGAGGAGCGGAGTGTGCGTCCTGAGTGGTACTTGGATATTAGGTCGGTGATGTAGTTCGGGGGCAGTATGGTGGACAGCTTTGTACGTCAGCGTTAGGATTTTGAATTTGATCCGTTGCACAATCGGAAGCCAGTAGAGGGATTGGCAGAGGGGGGGTGGCGGAAACGGAGCGGTTGGAAAGGTGAATGAGTCTGGCAGCCGTATTCAGGATCGACTGAAGCGGGGATAGCCAGCGGGGAGGCAGGCCAGTAAGGAGGGAGTTGCAGTAATCGAGTCGTGATATGATGAGGGAGTGGATGAGCTGTTTAGTGGTTTTGGAGTTAGGAACGTGCGGATTTTGGCGATGTTGCAGAGGTGGAGTCTGCATGAGTTTGTTAAAGATTGGACTTGGGGCTGGAAGGATAGGTTGGAGTCCAGAATGACACCAAGTACTCTGGCCTGCGGGGTGGGTTTGATAGTGGCGTTGTTGGACATGATGGAGAAGTCAATGGGGGGTGGGGTCCGGGCTGGGGGATAGACAAGAAACTCGGTTTTGGAGAGGTTCAGTTTAAGGACGTGGAGCGACATCCAGTCTGATATGTCGCTCAGCAGGTGTGTGATTCAGGTGGAGACTGAGGGGGTGAGGTGGGGGGTTGAGAGATAGATTTGTGTGTCGTCGGCATATAGCTGGTAGTTGAAGCTGTGAGAGTGTATGAGTTGGCCAAGGGAGGAGGTGTAGAGGGAGAAGAGAAGGGGCCCGAGGATGGAGCCTTGAGGGACCCCAACAGAGAGGGGGAGTGAGGGGGGTGGTGGTAGCATTATAGGTAACGCTGAAAGAGCGTTGTGACAGGTAGGATGAGAGCCAGGAGACAGCAGAATCTCTGAGGCCGAGGGAGTGTAGTTTTTTTTTGAGGAGGAGGGGGTGGTCGACTGTGTCGAAGGCCGCGGAGAGGTCAAGGAGTAGGAGCACTGAATAGTGGCCATTAGATTTGGCGGTTAGCAGGTCGTTGGAGAGTTTGAGTAAGGCAGTTTCGGTGGAGTGTAGGGGACGGAAGCCGGACTGTAGGGGATCGAGGAGGTTGTTGTCGTTGAGGTGAGAGCTTAGGCGGGTGTAGACTAGGCACTCGAGGAGTTTAGATGTAAATGGGAGCAGGGAGATGGGTCTGAGGTTGTTCGGGTCATTGGGGTCCAGGTAGGGCTTTTTAAGTATGGGGGTGATGTGTGCATGCTTCAGAGGGGAGGGAAAGTGCCGGAGGAGAGGGAGAGATTAAAGATGTGGGTGAGGGAGCATAGGATAAAGGGGGAAGAAGGTTGTAGGAGTTGTGAGGGGATAGGGTCGAAGGGGCAGGTGATGAGCTCATCTCTCTGTCACTCTGCTCTCTCTTTCAGTATGTCCCTTGTTAATGCATTAGGACTGCTGCATAGTTGACTGTCTCTTTGTGCTACTTCTTCCTTTTTCCATCTGATCTCTACTGTACAGGGGATTACAATAAGCAGATACAAATCATATTCAGGTACTTACATACAGTACTTGTATTTAAATAAAATGTATCAATCTATTAATGATTACAGAGCTGCATCAATATGTGTCTTTTATATTTGTCTGTAGTTTACCATTAACCAAAAGGGCGCTGCATGAGATAATCTCCCTACCTTATGCTGAGCTTCATTTATTTTCCCTACATGTAGGTGGTAAAGAAACAGTACCCCTGTGGCACTTTAGTAAAAAGGGAAAAGATTATATAAGGGAAGAGAGCTTGGTGCTTGACAATTTCAATATATTCATAAAATGCACACAAAATAATCCAAGAGTCTGCTGCAGATAATGTGTCAACTACAAGTACTGTCTATCTAAGCAGTCCGTCATCTGCTGAACATTCAAGTGTAGTGCTTACCCCTGTAGGAGCTGCTGTAGTAATGTCCAGGTCTTCCCTAGCTTTGCCCGGCAGCCAGGCACAAGGTAGTTTCACAGCCAGGTGCACACACACTTTCGCTCATTGTCTCCAATAATCAGTCTAGGGGTTGTTGTTTTTGTTGTTTTAATAATGGAGAACTTGGATAGGGATGGGGAATTTAGCAGGATACTCCAGGAGTAGAACTAGTTAGAGTTGAGAACAAAACATCCTTAAGTAACAGCCTTGAGCAAAGTCGCAATCAGGGGCGGACTGACCATTTGGAAACTCGGGCACTGCCCGAGGGGCCAGGGTCAGTAGGGGACCCCATGAGATGTCCCTGGTACCTTTTTCATAGGCTCTTTTGAGTTTTGGAAAGGACACAGGGGCCCCATGATCCCCTATTGCCTGGGGGCCTCATGAGTTGTCAGTCCGCCCCTGGTCGCAATGTTAGGAAGGAGTTAAATGGACTGCGCTTTTCAGGACACCAGCTGGCATCCCCTTCTTTTTTTTTTAGAACCCTACTGACTAAAAAGAAACAGAGGGGTAGCAAAGCACACAAAGACCCCTAGATCCCTGAGTGTCTGTACTCACAAGGCCCAAAGACAGAATTGTAGCCTCCTTCCAATCTTCCAAGCGATGCCCTCCAGTGGCACATCTATGGCAGGCAGCTCCCCTCTTGCTGAAGAACCATGGTCATTCTCTCTTCTACTTCAAGCCCTAAGGTCTCAAAGCAGCAGGTGGCTGCAGAGGCAGATTGCCTTCTCCACAGCTTTCTTCTGCAGAAAATATCCAGAGCTCAGTATCCCCAAAGAATAAATACCCTCACCTAGCATTCCTCAGGGCTGCACTCCCTGGCCTGGCTGGAGTGGCATTAATATTCATACTGTGTTCTGCAAGTATTCCATCTATACATCCAGAACCTTCCTAGGTTACTTGGATACAGAAGGGGCAGAATTAGCAGCATTTGAACACACTGAGCAAGCACTACTAACAATTACAGCGCTCTGTAAAGCAGAAAGCCTAACTAGATTTTCCTAACAGTTCTCCTGTTAAGCAGAGGAACCAATTATAATCTACTTAACCTAGCACCTATTTAGGAGGATGCTACTCAAGCAAGAAGTAAAAGGGTCACTCTATGAATAAGCTCTTTGCTGAGTGAAACATGCTAGAGCAGTGGTTGTCAACTTACAAGGCCTCAAGGCCTTATGGGGACTCAAATGTGTCCCTTGATGCCATCAAACGGCCGCCTATATTTATTATATACTATATATTACTGGAGGAGATGGTAAGAGACCATGTTCCAGGAGAGATTGGAGTCAGAGGCTGGGGACATGTTACAAGAAAATGCTAGTGATCACAGCTATTGCAGCTCCTTTACAAATCAAAGCTCCCACTGCTGACTGCTGGGGTCTGAGGGCCACACTGCAAACACCAAAGGGCCACATGTTGCTCTTGGGCCATGGGTTGGGCATTAGGGTGCTAGAGGACTGAGGTTTGGGTGAACGTGTATAGCATCGGATGAAACATTGTGTGGCTTTCTCACCTTTTCTTATTGCTTGGATATTCATAAAATGTTGCCCACCTTTATACAATATAGAGAAAAATTGCTGTGAACCTTTATCGATATATCTGTTCATAAACTCTTGAAAATCAGATGCAGCATTTTCATACATGAGGGCAGATGCTCCATAATTGAAACCAAGAATCTATAACATGCAAACAAACACCCTTCAATCCTATTTCTGAATCAGCAAAGTCCAAGATCAGCAAACTTTGAATTGAAATTGCATTAAAAGGTGTTGAAAATCCCATTTTCAGTTGCAATATTTATAAGTAATGTAAATTTTGTTTACTGCTATCAAAAGAAACCTTTATTTGATGCAGGAGGCATCCCCAGCAGTGCATTTCCCCACTCAGAACTCTTTGGCTTTTTTTCCTCTGTGCCTGTTTTTCTTCCTTGGGAACCCTGTGACCCCTTAAGGCTCTTTTAGCATCTAATACTGACTTTTAGTATCACCTCCAGACACCAGGAACACCTACCTAACAGATGAAAATGTTTTTGTTTTGAAAATATTTTTAATTTAAAAGCAAGAAACAATAACTTAGACAATATAAACCATTCAAATAATGGGCCGCATACCAAAGATGTTCATGGGTTCCACATGATTAGACCCTGCCGTGGGTGAAAAATGTTGGGGTGTGGCTTTGGGTGGGAGTGAGTGGTGTGCTGCCATTGCAATAAACCTTTGCTGGAGTTGAATGTCTTCGGTGTCAGCTTGTTATTTGGATGGTTGATTGCAGTGGAGAAAGCGCCGACCCTAGGGCTTTGGCATATGGATAATTGCAGCCAATCAAGGAGGATACAGGCAGGCCCATGAACAATGGAAGTTGTTGGATTCATTTAGACAATATAAAGCTTTAACAAATTAATTATTTTGAAAGCACCAATTGATATTTTAACTGGAAGCTGAAGTCTACGCAAACAAAGTCGATATACACATATATATGATCTGTTCCCATGTGCCAAATGATCTGTAAATCTGTCCAGTCACTTTTGTGATTCATACAACTTGGCCAGACAATACATTGTAAGTAGATTTACTTTCTCTGTTAAATAAAGGAATACAGTGGTCTCACCTAGGGCTGGGACAAGGGGTGGGCAGAAGGGACGGCTGCCCTGGGTGCCATGGTTTACTGTAGGGTTGGGGGCACTGTCCTTCTGTCACAAGGCTAACAGGAGTAGTGACAGTGGCACTAATTTTTCCAAACTAGTGACTGCTGGGATAGGATCCCTTAAGCTTGCAGATTATGAACAGGAAAGGGTGGAGGGGGTGGCAGATATTTTTGCCCTGGGCACTGGATGACCTTGTCCCGGCACTGGTCTCACCTTCTTGCCCACAGCTTGTTTATTGGACAGCAAAGTATTAGCAAAACGCAGATAGGTCGAAAGTGATAGCTGCAGGGCAGAAGAGATCTGGATCACAGACATAGAATCATTCAGAGTGTAGATCTAGATCTATGTGATGTATTGTGGAGCCTGAAGGTACAACCCCAAGTTTCAGAAGTTGCAGAGGGACCTAGAAAATGTTTTTCCAGGACTGCTAGAATTTCATGGCGAAAGTACCCCAACTGCTACAGGATTTTTTCAAGGGGAGGTTAATGGAAGGCACGTGCGCTCAAAGATTAATGGAGATGGCTACGTAGATAAGGGCTCCAAGCTTATGAAAAGTGTGGCAGCTCTTGAGGCCTAATGATGGAATTAGGGACTAATGGCTTACTACTGCTTGAGCTGTGATGCTGGAAAGATCTTTGCTTCCTTTATCTTTTACAAATGCTTCATGAGGAGAAAAAGTTAAAATGCCCAGTAGGTGAGGCGGCTCCCAGATAAACTGCGTAGTATGTGAAGATGAAGAAAATGATGGTTTTTCCTCTTTCATTTCTTGCTGCTCTTTTTATTTAATTTTTTGTAATTTTGTTTAAAACGATTAATAAAATGTTTTTCTGTTTTGTCTAATAAATAAAGTAAATAAAAAATAAAAAAAACCATCCTCTCCTCTATCATCAGCATGATTCCTGTGCATGCAGCAGGGCTTGTGGGATCCTAGTACAGCCCCTCCACTGGGCTTGAAAGAAGCTGTGATCCAAACAGAGCTGGTTGTATGTTAAAATTATTATTACTATACAGGATTTATATAGTGCCAACAGTTTCAGCATTGTTGGCGCTATATAAATACTGTACTTTTAATTAATTTATAGAATCCATGACTGCATTAAAAAAGTGCTGATTCATATCTACCTGGCATTGAATTTTAGTTATTACTTGTAAGGCCTTGCAAGTATTCCATCATCAAACAAATAATTTTAATAACCATATCTTCTATTTTTTTTACAGATTATTATCAAAAGGAGGCCTCTGTTCTACATTGTTAATCTGATTTTTCCAAGTATGTTGCTCTTGCTCATGGATATTGTTGGATTTTACCTTCCTCCTGAGGGTGGGGAGAGAGTTTCTTTCAAGGTTACTCTACTTCTAGGCTACTCAGTTTTCCTTATTGTTGTTTCAGAACAATTGCCAGCAGCTGGGATGCCTGTGATAGGTAGGTGAAACCAAACTATCTTACATATTTGGAAAATTCACTTTTTTTTCCCTATCCCAACTACTAGGGGATATCAGTTGCATATGTAACAGAGAAGAATTTAGCTTTAGTTTACAAAGAGATTCCTTACAGTGAAAGTGGTTAAACTAAGGTTAAAGTTAGGACAAAAACAATAATGGTATTTTCAGGGTCCCTGCAGCGGTAGCCTCTAGCACTCCACAGACCGGAATCCCCCAAGGCGCAGAATCTAAGCTCCGACCTGCTTGTTCATCAGAGCCCCTGATGGTGGGGATGGACTTGGAGCAGGCTGAGACCAGGTCGCGGCCCCTGGGTTCACCCAGCTGTGGTAGAGGCACCGTTGAAGGTGTATAGCAGGTAAGAGTCTGATGTGAGGAGGTAACTGAAGCAGCGTCGGGCAGGCCGTGTCGGTAACAGTGGTGGCGGTGTAGTACAGAATCAGCAGGCAGAGGGATAAACAGGTCACAAGCTGGGTTCGTCAACAGGAGGTCAGAACGTATGGGGTTAAGCAGGAGAATGGTCAGACAAAGCCAGGGATCAGAGCAGGAGACGGACAGCAAATCAAGATCAGGCAGGGTCGGCAACAAACAATCTACTCACAGGAACTCAGGAACACAGAAAAGACCATACGGCACTTGAGCATTGCAAGAGCTGGGTTTAAATAGCCCGCCCGACTCCTGACAGGCGCTCCTGAGTCCTAGTGCTTGCCCAGCGCCGTCATTTGTGACAGGCGCGCCTGGGTCCTAGTGCCCGCCTGCATGTACGTTTTGTCAGGATTCTACGCATGTGCAGATTCGATCGCTGCGGCGATCTTCCCATTCGGGACCAGATGATTTTCTTGCAACTAATAATATTCTCAATTATTATTGCTAAAGGCCACTATAACAATATTTTGGTCCAGAGTATTAAACTCACTGGGGGTAATGGTTAGTGGTATGGTTCAGAATTCTTTTTTTTTTTTCTCGTGTGCCAAAACTGAAATAAACAGTATATTACTGTTATAAGATATAATTATATTTATTATTTTCCATCTCCATAGGTGTGTACTTTATGCTGTGCATGATAATGTTTGTTGTTGGTTTGATGGAGAGCATACTGATAGTTCGAATAATCCACAAGGAGAACCTACACCCAGAGGTTCCTAAGTGGCTAAAGAAATTGATCTTGGTAGTGGCTCCCTTGGTTTGCCAGAAAGAATGGGCGCAATTTATTACACCTGAGGAAGATAGTTCAACTTCAACTGAACAAACAGAGAAAAGCACTGGTAAGACTTTAATGGAGGGGGGAAGAGGGTGGTAATAAAAATATGTGAGCTCTTTTTAACTAGCAAGTCTCTCCTCCAGCCCTCAATGAAAAATAATAAAACAAAGCAAAAAGGTTTGCGTTATACCCCCTATCCCCAGCAGCATATGTTTACCTTCTTTTGTTTCCCCGCCACTCCATTCAGTGCTGGGAAACAAAGAAAATTCCAAGTATTTCTGGGTGTGGAGGAGCATGCTTTTACATATCCATGGTAAATAAAATATAAAAAATATGTTTAACTGTAATCTTTGCAGTTGCTTTAATTAAAGCCGAAATCAAGGTTAACTTTTTTAGTTCTACTCCTGACAAAGCTGTAAAGCTGTCTCGTAAAAAAGGTTAAAGTGTACCTGACTATGGACATTAAACTGGAAGATGTTTACAGGTTTTCTTAAAATTGCTGCTTCCCTATTCCTCCGATCTATGCTGCATAGACTATATAAAAAAAATCAAACAGTACAAATACCTCTTTTTAATCTGCTTCAGTCCAGGCATGTAATCCAGCAGCTCTGTCTCCCCTGCATCAGAAGGCGGATGCTGCAGGGGAGAGGAGGAAGAGGGCACAATGGGAGCCGGGGTGCGGGTGGGTAGTGATGCCCCAGCTCTGGGAATTCACAGTCATTGTCAAGTGCTCCCTTACAAGGGGAGCCACAGTTGCTGGATCACACTATCGCCTTGCAGCAGATTAAAAAAGTTATCTACACAGATCTTTTTTTTTGCCAATGTAGCTATAGATAGGAGGAGGAGGAGGAGGAGGTAGCATTTCTAATAATACTTGTAATGGGCCTTTAATACCACTTTAGGTTTCACATTCTCTTAACAATCTGTAAAATAGCTTTAAAACAAACAACATCACTGACCTCTCTAGTTGCATGCACTGTCAAGTAATCAATTCTCAAAGGTCACAACAAAGACTGTAGAGTTGTTTTCAGTCAATTTTTGATAGCTTACTGCACCTGCTAAGTGTTTACATTAGAGAGCTGCCAAAGTGCCAAGATTCTGCTTTAATAGAAACAAGAAAAAATAAAGAAGAGCTGTGATTTCAGTGCTTCTGTTATGAACTCTAAAGATGAATTTCTCCACAATAACTCCAGCCACAGAGGGGAAAAAGGGCACATTTTTACTACTTGTTCAGAATATGTAAATATTTTGTTGTGCAAAATCTAGGCACAGGTTTACTTTAATCTCTTGTGGACCCTCTGACAGTAATTTTACGTCGGTATGTACAGGCACAATCATGTACCTGTATGTCGAGAGCTGCACATGTGGAGTGATGCAGTCTTGTGACCGCTGTGACAGTGCTTGGTACCCGGTTTCAATGAGCAGCTCGGGCATCATGTGATCATCACTATGACTAATCATTAGAATTATATGATAACAATGTAAGCAAACTGCCATTAATGGATTTCCATTCATGAATAGCTTTCTGATCTGTGATTGGCACGGTAATCACATGGTACCTGGCTACCTGTACCATGTGATTAGCTGTAACCAATCACAGATCACAACCATAAGCAAGTTGTTCATGAATGTTAACCCATTCATGACAGGTAATACTATTGATTATATAGTGATCATCACTGTATAAGCAATAACTGTGTAAAAAAAATCCCTGATTACCCCCTCCCCCCAGAGTAGTACAGAGTCAGCACATCAGGATTGATCGATTTTCAAATACTGTATATACCATAGTTTGTAGACTCTGTACCTTTGACACAGACTAAATAATATACTCTGATTTGGGTTATTTTTACCAAAAAACATTATCAGAATACATTTTGGCATAAATGTATGAAGAAAGATTCATTATTTGCAAAATGTTATAACAGTAACTAAGTACAAAGTGTGTTTTTTTTTTTTAATTTTCAATATTTTATCATTTATATAGCAAAAAAAAAAACCCAGTAGCGGTTAAAAAACTACCAAAAGAAAGCTCTATTTGTATGAAAAAAAATATTATACATTTCATTTGGTTACAGTGTTGTATGAGCTCGCATTTGCCAGTTAAAGTAGTGCAGTGCTGAAAGGCAAAGGCAAAAAATTCCCTGGTCATGATGGGGGTAAAACGTTCCAGGAGGTCAAGTGGTTAAAGTATATGTGAAGCTAAAATTGTTCTTATTGCTGATTGAGAGTTTGGAATGTAACAGAAAATGAGAAGAGTTTTTCTGAAGAAAAATTGTCACCACAGAAAGTTCCTCATTAAAAGATTCTCTCTCTATTTCTTATTCAGTGAAAACTCAAAACTTTTTGGATATTTTTCTCACTTTTATGCAGGCCATACATGGTTCGAATTACGAACTAATTTTCTTTAGAAAATCAGCAATTTTGTACATTTTGTAACCCGATGGTGCCACTATTGATTTCAAAATTCCACCAACCAAGCCTTTAATTTCACCTCATGTTGCTACAGCAAAGAATTTTCGTGGCCAAGAATGTTCTTTTCTTTCCAGGTTACAGCTCATGCTCATTTCTTTTTCAATTACATTTCTTGCACGATTCTTCCATCATTGATTAGAAATTTGTTCGTTTTTCTAAAAATTTCCAACATGCCCGATCACTCAAATTCAATGGTCGTTTGAAAATCGATCATTGATGTGGCCTACTAATGGTGCAAAATTTGAACGCAAATTCTTAGAACAGATTTTTAAAAGAAAATTCTTTCGGAATTTGACCTATGTATGGCCGGATTTAGTCCCAGTGACAGTGGATCATTAAATATAAAGTGCCAAATCCAAAAGATCCACTATTGTGCAAAAATAATTATACACATCTGTGCAAATAACATGAGAA